AGAAGGGGGGGAGATGGGGAGGGAGAAGGGGAGGGAGAAGGGGTAAGAAGGGGTAAGAAGGGGTAAGAAGGGGTAAGAAGGGGAGGGAGAAGGGGAGGGAGAAGGGGAGGGAGAAGGGGAGGGAGAAGGGGAGGGAGAAGGGGTAAGAAGGGGTAAGAAGGGGTGCTGTGCACGTGCATGTGCATGTGCATGCAGCTGGGCAGTGCGGGTGGGGGAACGACTGAGGGGGGCTCGACACCCCCCTTTGCAGCTGCTCCTGATCCGTCCCTCACCTACCTCACACCCCTCACACCCCTCACACCCCTCACACCCCTCACACCCCTCACACCCCTCACACCCCTCACACCCCTCACACCCCTCACACCCCTCACACCCCTCACACCCCTCACACCCCTCACACCCCTCACGTGGTGACGCGGCGCGCCGTCTACTCCCGGACGAACCCCCCCCCCAAAACCAAAAAACACTCACGGACAAACATATCTACACACACACACACACACCGCGCCTGCAGGCTAGCGCCATGGCCCTGGGCAAGTGCAAGATGCCGCTGCCCGCGTTCCCGCGGTTCAACGCCGGCGGGGAGTACGGCGCTATCGGGGACCCCGCAGCACTCATCGCCGATGTACCGCACTCCATAAAACACGTCGCGGGGCCCGTGGCCAGTCCGCTGGCGCTGGTGGGCGCGGCGGGACCGGCTGCCGTACAGGCTGACGTGGCGGCGGCGCTGCGGCCCAAGCGCATCACGGCACAGCCGCTGCAGGTTCGTTTTTTTATCTTTTCCAGGGCCGTCGCCCCGCCTCGCCAAGACGTTGTAGTACTGTACGGCACCACCAACAGCCCACAACTGTTCCACAGCAACCGTCGCTCTTTTACCTAACCACTCGAAACAAACATTTGTCAGCTTGTGATGATGCCGCCTCACAGCGTTATTTGGCAGGCAGAGCAACATCCGGTTTTTGTAAACTCCCCTCCTCCCCCCCTTTCCCACCTCTCTGCCTCGCATGTGCCTTTGCCCGCTGCTTTTGCGGCCTGACCAGGTGAGTCCAAAGAGTGGTTCGAGCTTCTTTGGTATATCGCGTTGGCGCCGGTCGGCTAGCCGGACTAGGATAGTCGGGTCGGTCGGGTCGGTCGCGCGTTTTAGTTTGGGGGGTTGGGAGGAGCACTTGCATACCGACAGCCTTTCAGTATCAGCAAATCAGCTATTTGTCCAGGCCAGCAACTTTATGCCACCTTTACGACAGCACTACTTTACTACTTTTCCGCCGCCTTCACAACTACTTTTCTACACCTACTTCATTACGGCTTGGCAATATTATTTCTTCTTTTTTAGTTCTGGCGGCTTAGGTAGGTAGTCTTTTCGACATCTTCTTCACTTCGTCATCTCGAGGTCACGGTCGCCACGGACGCCTTTCGGTCAGTTCTACGTTTGATACTCTCTTGCCCTGGCAGCAGCTTCAATCGTGTGTGGTTCGTCTTTCCCTCCCCCCCTACCCCCTCCCCCTCCACACACAGACATCGGACTGACAGCACTACCCCCCGCGTACGAC